TCCATGCGTATAACGGTAAACGTCCATGGGTATGGCGATAAACTGCATCCGCGTCCATGGGTATAACGATAAACTGGCGTCCATGAGTATGACGGTAAACGGCATCCGCGTCCATGGGTATGGCGGTAAACTGCATCCGCGTCCATGCGTATGGCGGTAAACTTCATCCGCGTCCATTGGTATGGGTATGACGATAAACTGCATCCGCGTCCATGGGTATGACGATAAACTGCATCCGCGTCCATGGGTATGACGGTAAACGCCTCCGCGTCCACGCGTAAACCGCCTCCGCGTCCATGATGACGGTAAACTGCATCCGCGTCCATGGGTATGGCGGTAAACTGTCCATGCGTATGGCGGTAAACTGCATCCGCGTCCATTCGTATGGCGGTAAACTCATCCGCGTCCGCGGGTCATCCGCCATGGGTATGACAGTAAACGGGGTTCCATGGGTATGGCCGTAAACGGCATCTGCGTCCATGGGTATGACGATAAACCGCATTCACGTACATGAATATGACGATAAACTGCATCCGGTATGGGTATAAGGTAAACTGCCACCGCGTCCATGGGTATGACGGTAAACTGCCTCCGCGTCCATGGGTATGGCGGTAAACTGCATCCGCGTCCATGGGTATAACGGTAAACTGCATCCGCGTCCATGCGTATAAACGGTATGGCGGGCGAAAACTGCATCCGCGTCCATGCGTCCATGGGTATGACGATAAACTGCATCCGCGTCCATTCGTATGACGGTAAACTGCATCCGCGTCCATGGGTATGACGATAAACCGGCATCCATCGTCCATGGGACGATAAACTGACGGTAAACGGCATCCGCGTCCATGGGTATGGCGGTAAACGGCATCTGCGTCCATGGGTATGACGATAAACGCGTGCATTCACGATAAACTATGGGTACGTCCATGAATATGACGGTAAACTGCCTCCGCGTCCATGGTATGACGATAAACTGCATCCGCGTTCCGCGTCCATGGGACGGTAAACTCCGCCCATGCGTCCATCCGGGTATGACGGTAAACTGCATCCGCGTCCATGGGTATGACGGTAAACTGCATCCGCGTCCATGGGTATGACGGTAAACTTCATCCGCGTTCATGGGTATGACGGTAAACTGCATCCGCGTCCATGGGTATGGCGGTAAACTGCATCCGCGTCGTGGAATATGGCGATAAACATCCGCGTTCACATATGACGGTAAACTTATGGCGATAAACTATCCGCGTCCAACAGGCGGTAAACTGCATCCGTTTTATGAAAAATTAATCCGCGTTGTCGGCGATACGTTTTTATGAAAAAACTGCATTACCGTCGCCATATGGCGTTTTTGGAAGGAATAATATATTACCAGCCATACGTTTTTTTGAAAAATTAATATTACCAGCCATACGTTTTTGGAAAATAATATTCGTTTTTGGAAAAAATAATATTGCCAGCGTTTTTTTTGAAAAAAAATATTACCAGCTATATGTTTTTAAAAAAAAAAAAATATTTGAAAAGAATTCCCAGCTATACTTTAAAAAAATCTTATTCAATGATGAATTGTAAAAAAAAATTGTAACACTGAAAAATGATGTTTTTAAAAAAATAATAATTTTGCCAGTTATACGTTTTTTAAAAAATAATGTTGCCAGCTATACGTTTTTGAAAAAAAAATAATGTTGCCAGCTTTTGAAAGAATGGTGTTGCCAGCTGTGGGTTTTTGAAAAAGCAAAAAAAAAAATGTTGCCAGTTATACGTTTTGTTTTTTGTTTTTTTTTAATAATGTTGCCAGCTGTACGTTTTTGAAAAAAATAATGTTGCCAGCTACACGTTTTTGAAAAAAATAATGTTGCCAGCTATATCAAAATCATTTTCGGCATAAAATGACCACTAAGGTTGGAATGCCGTTAAACAAAACAAACAAACAAACAAACAAACTTTATTTTGTAACGTAGGTAGAAAAAAAAGCAAATATTGATAAGTTAGCGAGGGTCAGAAAGCACTGCCAGTGGTCCCCAATCATGCTTGAACCTCACCACTCGGGGTTTCGGTGGTAATACTTACCGGCTATGGTTGTGTGCATATTTATACATATTTATATCGACACGATTTATACTTCGCTTGCATAAATACGATTTTATCTTGTTTTTGACAAGTTATTTTCTACTTGGCGCTACACAATTTTCAAATCGTTATTTCCGTTTTCAGTTGTTATTTTTATTCGCCACGAATGACTCAAACCCAAATGAAATTTCCATCTTGGTGCCTCGATCGTATGAATTTAAACGTACTACTAGATTGGCAATTAGGTCTCACCGTTTTATCATTGAACTGGCTAGATGCAACCGTATGTTATATTCTAATAGTCTCTTTTCTCGACTGTGGAACTCCCTTCTGATTTTTTGCTTCCCCGTCAACTACAATCTTCAAAAAGTTAAATGCGACGCCAATTGTCATTTTCTCTCTTATTGAAACCTGTTCTTTTATTGTTCTTCTCATTTTCTTTCACTTCCAGTAACCCATTGCACCCTAATGGTGTTATCGCCTTGCTTAGGGTGAATTTCTTTTTTTATGACAAATGATTTAAAAAACAAAACAAATGAAAACAAGTAGACATTTTCCAATTTGGATTTTGACGTTAAACAATTTTCCCTTCTATTTCTCAGCCATGGATTGTAAGCTTGATTCTCACCGGGTGCTCCACACAAAATTCGGCATAAAATAATCCAACATGTGTTGTTATACCATAAAATCGACCAACTTAACCATTACTTCTGAAAAGTGAGTTCGATTTAAACAAATTCAAAACTAAGTGTAAAATCAGCCAAAAGTAATCTATTTTTTATTCAATTAGCTTTTTTCCTGACTAAAGTGTGCTTTGAAAATTTACGTCTAACTCTCTCAATCAGCGTTTCTCAACCGTTGCGTCCAGGCGCACTAATACACCCTGAAAGTTAGCTAGATGCGCCCGAAGTTAGCAGAAGTGTAATTTATGTATTATTTTTATATTTAAGAAATCTTTATTTTATAAAAGTTAGGCACACCATGCACATTGCTTCCATGTCTAAGTCAAGTCTTTGTCATTTGATATATTAAATTGGATACTAAATTCTTCAATCATTAAGGAGTGGATAAGCCTTCCCCTTTTGATTTCTTCAAGGGATTTAAATCAATCTGTTGTGAGAGTATGTATGTTGGTGTTAGAGTTGGAAAACACGGGTCTCCTGAAATGTTTATCCCACAACAAAAATGGCGGACTCGGTATGCAATTCCGGGTAATAAAATACAAAGAAACAACTAAAATCAATATATGTACAAACAAACGATAATGTATTATTAACAAGACCAAAAAGTTACATTGTTGTGAGCGACAAAAACAATGATATTTATGTATGTTGCAAAACAATGAACAATCATGAAAATATTTAAAGAGTAGTGAATTATTCGTGTACGTGAAATCTGTGTAGAAGTCCAAGAGAACATGAAGTAAAATGAACTCGTGTACGTACGTGCGTGTGCGCGCGTTTTTGTGTGCACTTAAAATGGGAAAGGCGTTTTCACGATAACCTACCTCCTAGCGTGTCTAAGGAAAATAGGAAAAAAGAGCTGGCGCACATGGGAGTTTGAGCCACATCTTACCGTCCCTTGGTGAAATAGGAGGAGAATTATAGAAAATATTACAGTGTATTTATAGGTTCAGAAAGTGTCCCCTAGTAGCGTTGTTTTTGTTAGGAAAGTAAGTGGGGTAACTCCACAAGTCATTATCGGTCTATGTTTGAAAAAAAAAGAAAAGAATTAGATTCATCATAATTATTTTTATAGTGACGTTTACCCTGTACAAGTCCTGGGGGCTACTCGAAGTAGAGGGTTACAGAGTAAGAGGAACAGTTAATGCGAAAGATAACGATTAATCCTAGATTTGAATAGATTAAGACTGTGATCGGGAGAACATCCTCTTGGACGTCAGTTCCACAAAGCAGCGGTTCGCTGGAAGAAGCTATTCGGGTGGGACTCACTAATGGAATACAAAGGGAGTGAGGGTGGTTCGCTACAATGGGCGTAGTAGCATGGGGGGGGTCCTAGCAATGATGGTTAGTACTGGTGGAACTAAAGAAAGTAGTTCGTCTGAGCACTTTTCATGGAAATAGTGATAGAGAGGTTTGCGTCGTTTCGTTTGTGAGAAGTTGGGTTGCAGGGTAGAAAAATCTTTGGGAATGCTAAACCAAGATTTCATATTTTCAAATTTCATGACTAATTTTTCCTTATTAAAATTTAAAGAGCGCCCTCGAGTTTTACTTATTCTACAAATGCGTCCTGAATTTTTTAAAAAATCAAGGTTGAGAAACACTGCTCTAAATCTATGTGAACATTCCATACGGCAGAATCATACTAAATATCAGTTTGTGAACACCTTGTGGTGGGGCTTCAGGTACACAAGCTAATCTTACATACTATTACTACTATACAGTTCAAGGTTTACTGAATGCCCCTACTAAATTCAAATCAGTAAATATTTTGGGAGGTTAACGGATTCTCAATAGTGAGTTCGATTTTTACTGTTTCCACCACGTTCATAACCTTGCGTAGAACTAAAATAAACTAATTGTACGAAAATATATTCGAATGCATTCTCACGATCAGACGTAAAAAATGAATATATAAATTTACGCCATGAACTCGCTACAGGTGAAATAAACAGTCGACTTACCTGACAAAGCATTTCATCATGTACATACGGATAAAGTATCACCAAATGATTTTAGATAGATAGATAGATAGATAGATAGATAGATAGATAGATAGATAGATAGATAGATAGATAGATAGATAGCAGGCTACAGAATAGATGGAGAGAGATATGAAGAAATCAGGATAGATAGATATGAATAGACTGAGATAGATACACAGATAGATGAAGAGAAACGTATGAACAGACCAAGATAGATAGATTGATATGAATAGATTGAACAAGCTAGCTAGGTAGATAATGAGCATAATTAGATAGATAGATAGATAGATAGATAGATAGATAGATAGATAGATAGATAAGGAATGTAATTAGATAGATAGAAATAGATAATTAGATAGATAGATAGATAGATAGATAGATAGATAGATAGATAGATAGATAATGAGATGTAATTAGATAGATAGATAGATAGATAGATAGATAGATAGATAGATAGATAGATAGATAAAAATGTAATTAAATAGATAGATAGATAGATAGATAGATAGATAGATAGATAGATAGATAGATAGAAATTTAATAGGTAATCTTTGTTATTTATTCGACATTAAAACCGCTCTAACTTCGATCCACGTCAATAGAATTACTCCCCAACCTCAGCTCGTAACTGTGAACGTACTAAATAAAGAAAAGCCACGCGACGACTCTGTTGGAGAGGCGCGGTGTACAGAGTGAGAGTAAAAAGAACGAGAGAGAGAAAAAAGGAGAGTCAACCTAACGAGGAGGAGGAGTGAACAACTATGTGAAAGGAGGAAGTGTCTTGTCCTCTGAGCTGTTGTCGACTTTGCAAGCGCTTTACCTTAGATGGGAGGCTTTCACAGCAGGCGAGGTACACACGTACACACATACGCTATGGATCGCCCTGGACAATAAATATATAAATATATATATATACAAAATCACAACTGGACATATTTATAATTTTTTTGTGGAGGAATCTCTTTTTTAGGTAAGGAAGTTTTTCATACAATGAGATACATGTTTTTATTTTTTTTTGTGTTCTTTTATATGGATGGTTATCTGTTCACGAAGTTGAAAAACAGTCAATTGTTGTGATACGCTCAACTGTATATACACGTGTGTCAATGATTAAGCAGTCCATATATCCGGGTTAACGAAAGATTTTTTTCATAAGTTACTGTTTTGCACTTGCGGAAATACGAGACATATTTCTTGTGAAAAATTTCCCTAAATTAAAAAAATATATTTAAAAAAATAGCATTCATTCATAGCCTCCATACCAGACAAAGATATGCTATCAGTGGTGTTGTTATTTTTTTTTTCTCTAAAAAGGTTTCACATAATCGGATTTTTTGATAGACAATTCCACTTGAATGCGAGTGTTTGACAGCGAAAACAAATTATCGTCAGAGGTTAATATGACGGATAAAATCGAACTAAACAAAAAAAAAAAAAAAAAAAAAAACAAAAAAAAAATCTTGTTTTTTTTTCTATTTTAATCTATTTATTTTTAGACTGTTAATTTTGTAATTAAAATTTTCACAAAAACTCTGGTCACGTATTTGAGGAAAAAGATATTTGGTATAGTTTTATTTCTATAAAAGTTTTAACAATTTTTTGTCAAATTTAAAACTCATGGCTTCGATAGATCGAAATTTTCCCAAACATGGTATTCGATTATTATTATTATTATTATTATTATTATTATTATTATTATAGTACACATAAAAAATGACAGGATTTAAATATGTGGATCAGTCATTCTAACTAGTATCTGTGCATCCTGACTACGATCAAAATGTCAATCCACGGTCGTCTGTCCAGAATCAGTGTAGTATCTGTGTGCTCTGTGAAAACGATTACACACGAGATAGATAGATAGATAGATAGATAGATAGGTAGATAGATAGATAGATAGATAGATTGGCATTGTATTTTCTATTTGGCTATTAATAATAATAATTGAAATTGTGTGCGGCTAAGATTCGTATATTTAAATAAAGGTGAATGAAGAGTTGTCATGTAAGAATATTGCTTTCAAAGAAATGATTACTTCGCAGTTTGACATCTGATAATCTACCAGCAAAATTAAAGCGAATGACTAATTATCAAACAGATAACAAACCGCCTTAGATAGATAGATAGATAGATAGATAGATAGATAGATAGATAGATAGATATCGATATGAACGGAATGGGATAGATAGATGAGAATAGACATAGTTATGAATAGAGATATATAGCTGGGTAGAGACAGATAGATAGATAGATAGATAGATAGATAGATAGATAGATAGATAGATAGATAGATAGATATGAACAGAATGTGATAGATGTGAACAGACATAGATAGTTATGAATAGAGATATATAGATTAGGTAGAGATAGATAGATGGATAGATACATACATACATATGACTATAACGTGATAGATAGCTATAAATTTAACGAGATAGATAGATAGATAGATAGATAGATAGATAGATAGATAGATAGATAGATAGATAGATAGATAAGAATATACTTAGATAAACAGAGATAGCTATGAACATTCTGAGATAGATAGGTTGATTGTTTATCTCTATTTGTCTGTGATAGTCAAGTAAAGAGACATCGATAGACTTACTGATTGTGAACCAGGTAAATAAGGTAATCGATGACAACCTGTTGGTGTAATAAACATAAAAGCACCTTTTAGTGACGAAACAGTTAAATAGCAAAATAAAATGCTACAAAGACCAAATTCATAATTTATTCTATTTGGCTTCGTACAAAACGAAACGCTTCTTGAAATTATCTATCTATCTATCTATCTATCTATCTATCTATCTATGTCTGTTCGTTATGTACGTATGTATGTATCTAACTATCTATGTTTGTTTATTATCTGTCCATAGATGTGTGTGCGTGTATGTATGTATGTATGTAGGTAGGTATGTATCTATCTATACCACTATGTTCATATCTATCTATCTATCTATCTATCTATCTATCTATCTATCTATCTATCTATCTATCTATCTATTTCTGTTTGTTATGTACGTATGTATGTATGTAACTATCTATGTTTATTATCTATCCATAGATGTGTGTGCGTGTATCTATCTATCTATCTATCTATCTATCTATCTATCTATCTATCTATACAACTCTGTTCATATCTATCTATCTATCTATCTATCTATCTATCTATCTATCTATCTATCTATCTATGTCTTCGTTATGTATGTGTGTATGTATCTAACTATCTCTGTTTGTTTATTATCCATCCATAGATGTGTGTGCGTGTATGTATGTATGTATGTATGTATGTATCTATCTATCTATCTATACCACTATGTTCATATCTATCTATCTATCTATCTATCTATCTATCTATCTATCTATCTATCTATCTATCTATGTCTGTTAATTATATATGCATATATATATATATATATCTATGTATGTATCTCAGTCTGTTCATTGTCTATCTTGGTCTTTTATTATGTATGTATGTATGTATCCTGATTAACTTTTTACTATGATTTATATCTACATATATAAATATTTATATCTCTTTTGATCGGGGGGGTGGAGACATTGTACCCATCAGATGTCCGCAATTGTTTTCTGCTTAACTCTCTATTAACCTTCGTGGACGGGAATTTCCAGTTTGATACGACGTGTGTGCAGATATTTATAGTGAAAAAACCGGTTTTCAGCTTTATTCATTATCTGCTACACACGCGCGCGCACACACACACACACACACATATATATATATATATATATATATATATATATATATATATGACAAATAGAGGCTAAGTAAATAATAAACTAAAGAAAGTAATTCTTAGTAAGGGTGATACGCTCTGAGAAGAAAGGTTAAGACTAATATCTTCCCCCTTTTATATATTAAATTCAATCAATAAAAACTTATTGATTGAATTTAATATATTAAAGAAAGATGCAGAGATATAGCAAACACTGGTTATAGTTTACATCAAAACGTTAAAGATACAGAGACGCTCATTTGGTGTCAGTTGTATCTAGATGTTTAACTTAGCTTATCTCATTCAGCTTTTTTCATTACTAGGTTTTACTTGTTATACACACACACACAAACGCATACATATATATATATATATATATATATATATATATATATATATATATATATATATATATCGATATATAATTTTATATATCGGCAAGCAGTATTTAGGAAAATATGACAAACTGTAAAAAATATTCTCTCAAAAACATGCTTTTAACAATTTTGAAATTACCTGCGTCTCTCGTTTCGGGCACATGTCTAGACGTGGCAACTTCAACAAAGTCACACTCCGATGAAATCCTAACGGATGAAACGCATTACACACACACACACACACACACAAAAAAAAAAAAAAAAAAAAACTTTCCAGCTTGTCATATTTTTCTAAATATATATATATATATGGGAAATGTCGGATTAATGTGAGTTTGTGACTGAGTTTGACTCTCTTTGCGAAATTTGAAAATTAATCAGTTTGTCTGACGATCGCAAAGAGCGTGAAACGCATGGTCACAAACTCACATCAACCCAACTATATATATATATATATATGTGTGTGTGTGTGTGTGTGTGTTTTATTAAAGAAGACTGACTGCGATTAAGCTTTTTATTTAATTTTTCCTGAATTCGTACAAATGGGTAAAAACTGCCTGTGTGTTCTATCTATCCGAACACTTTCAAATATTCTCTTACCTATTATTACGAATGTATTTTTTAACTGAATATATATATATATATATATTCGGAAATTTTCTTTTCTTTCAGAAAATAAAACCTGCTGCTATAGTATTTTCACTATTGCCCGAGTTAATAACGAATAAGAAAGAAAAAAATGCAAATCAGATTCAATTACAAAGAAAAAATATTTATTTCTAACGAGCTAAATAAGGGTACTTGCAAAAATTCGTCCCTTTTTACTGAGAATAAGATAACCTATTATCTGAGTAATACAATGTAAAAAAAAAACATAGCCGAAAAACAAACTTAAATATTACAATGCAACCCCACCCCTGCTGGATAACAATAAAAATGGGGGGGGGAGAACCTTAGCTCTACAGTAGACTTTCAGTCCTTTCAAGTTTTTATCTTTTTTTCTTTTCTCTTTTGTGTAGACAAGGTTCTCTTCTTGGTGACCAAACTCCCTTCTTTCTTCACTTATTTCCCTCCCGTCCGCCTGGATATTGCCTTTCTTTTACGACCGTAGAAGGTGAAAATTTACTTAAACACGCGCTAAAACACTTTTAGAAAAAACGCACGTGTTTGCTCCTTCTTCTTCTTCTCAAACGGCTTTAGCTCCAAACTCCACTTATGAACTACTTTTCAACTTTCTTTTCTGGGCCTTCTTCGAGAGGACTTCTCAAAACTTTCTCTGACAGGGCAACTTGCCTTCAGCAACTTGTTACCCACGCATCCTTTACTTATGGGCAAACGCTGCCTGCCTTTTCAGCAGGGAGAGAGAAACGAACCTCCGGTTTCTAAGCGGTCTCGTTTCCAACTGCTGCTAAAGTTTTGTCCTAGTTCTCCCTTCCCCGTCAAAGTGGGCGGTTCACCTTTAAACCGTTCAATCACAGTCCATTACAAAAATATCAGCAGGTTCTTAGGGCCAGTAACACAGAGAGTCTTTTGTTCACCTTGACCTAAAAATTTTCAATATGCAGAAATATAGTCTTAAGATGTGCTATATTTATGGGATAAAGTGCTCAGTATCAGAAATAGAGCGTGTGTAAATATAAAAGTGAACATAAAGTCAACACTTAGAGTCGACAGTCTGTTTCATGCTAACAGCAATCGTCAGGTACTGACGTTTGCGTCTAGCATGAAACAGACTGTCGCCTCTAAGTGTTGACTTATGTTCACTTTATATATATATATATATATATATATATATATATATATGTATATATTATAGCACTTTATCTCTGATAATTGACCACTTATATAATATATATATATATATATATATATATATATATATATATATATATATATATATATATATATATATATATATGCGCGTGTGTGTGTGTGTGTTTGTGTGTGTATTTATAGTGATGGGAATGTTTGTTTTTATTTTCAAAACATGTTCAGCAGATTACTGCCATATTGATAGTTGATAATATTGGGTGTTGGCGTTTTTTTTTTTCCTTATTTTATTATATATATATATATATATATATATATATATATATATATGTGTGTGTGTGTGTGTGTGTGTGTGTGTGTGTGTGTGTGTGCGTTGTGTGTGTGTGTGTGTGTGTGTGTGTGTGTGTGTGTGTGTGTGTGTGTGTGTGTGTGTAGGACCATACGTTCATATACAATGCCTTAATTTTCACTTTTGTGTACACTTTTGTGAAATATTTTTCAGAAATAAACAAAGGTTTGGATTGTTATGCAATATTCCAAGCGCAATTACAACACAATTTTCTCAAATTTTGACATTCCTTTATACATTGTATATATTTTTAAAATACTTCAAAAGGTAAATATATTTGCTAATGATTGCTTGCTATGCAAACTTTTAACCCCAGCTGTATACGGGGTCTGTCCAGAAAGTATCCATCTATTTTAATAGTAACATAAATGTTGCCCATTTAGAGCAATGACCTCATCGTCCCTTTCCAAGTATTCGCCTTGGTAACGCACAGTCTTATGCCATTGTCTCATCTATTCTGCGAAATCATCTTCAAACTATTTATGAGGATTATTCTTGATCTCTTTCATCTCGCTCCCGAGCATAATTCTCCTTCCCTCCAATGGTAATTTTAACTTTGGCGAAAAACGTGTGATACGATGTTTTGCAAATAAATGAAAAGAAAACCAGACATATGATGTGATAGTTAAGATATTCTAAAAAGAAAAAAGAAAGCAATTCCTAGGTCTTCTTATTTTTATACTGTCAGTCGGTGATTTCCCTTGATTTTACTTCGTATGTGTTCAACCTTTTCGACTTGTTGAATGCCGCCCACAACGTGGATCGCTTTCAATCGATGTACTGAAACTTGGCTCTTCCTTATCTACAACCATCATTTCGATATCCTTTAAGCACGAATGTTTACAACTGAATTCTAAGAGATGCCAAAGTAAGTTTTTTACTTGGTATCACCTCAGAAAGTCAAAAGTCATAACAGACACGAGATCTAACCTTAATGGTGACCTTATAGCCAACAAGTGCAGAATCAGACTTCAAAAGTCATCGGAGGATGCACCAATATGGTCTACGAGTGGTGAGGCAGAATCAAGATCAAACGTTGGAAAAAAAAAAAAGATCCGAAACCACATACCTTCGATTCAACCGACGTTAATTT